TTTTATATTTGCTGTGGAAATACAGCATGAGAGCCTAACTAGATCCAGCATACCAAAACTGCTTGCATAAAAGCAAGCTTGATATCGGCACGGAAACACCCCAGGATCGCACTGCTAACACCACCACCAAACACCTTTGTTGACTTTCCTTCAGTAAGCACTGTATGGCTGTCTCTGTAGTTACCAATAATGTCCTGAGCAATGTGGTGTAATATCAGCGTTCAGGGCCTTGTGGTCAATAACAATTGTGAGTGATGTACTGCTTAACAAAGAGGTATCACCACTACTCTGCATTGGCGGTGGCCTTTTTCTGCCTCTGAGAAAGACACATTGATCTGCCCTTACCGCAGGTGGAGATAAGAAGGAGGAGAAGAAAAGGACAAAAGGATGAGACTACACTGTGCCACAGGCAGGACAGACGTGAACAGGCAAACCAAGCATCCTCATAAATCTGGAGCTAACCTTCCATGCAAAGCAGACGCTGAGGTCTGGTTTAGGCAGAGATTAAACAAGAGACATGGGAGAGTTTCAGAATCCTTCGTTGCTAATGTCTGGCTTCCATGGGGCTATTTCTCTGAAAACTCCCTGCCTGTCTCATCAACTGTCTGAGAGCAAAATGTAGGTTATGATATCCTACAGTAATGCGTTTGTTAGCTGGGGATGAGGCAGATGTCGGTGGTTGTCTGCCACGTCCAACCCAGGCCTACAAATGTCAGTAGATTGTTTATGCTCTGTGTATCCACATGGACTAGGCACAGTGCTTGACTGCCCACCCTCTCGCCCCCATGTAGGGAGTGCAAATTAAAGGGGAAGGCTGTGAATTCTTTAATGTTCCTGGTCCCCCCCCTCTCTGTTTTCTGTTCTAGTTGGTTCTTGCCTTTTTAATTTTTTTTCTTCCCTTCCAGCAGTACCATTCTTGTCTGTTGGATACAATGGGGATGAATAGATTACGTAGCCCATGTCTGTTTCCGTATTGTTTTTTAATATTTTAATAATAGGGATTGTTCTTAATAACAATAGTTATGATAATATATTTGTTTCTCTACACAGCCATGCAGCAGGTCTTGGACAACCTCAGCGATCTTCCCAACTCTATGGGAGCTGGAGATCTGGATCTCATCTTTCTCCGTGGCCTCATGGAGAGTCCAATAGTAAGATCATTGGCTAAGGTACAGTTAAATGGGGTAGTTGGGTAAGGGACAGTAGCCGAACAGAACCTGCATCTTCAGCTCCATCCACTTCTGCTACATTGCTTACTCCTTGGCTGTAATGAATAATTTGCTATAATAGCTAAATAACAATATAGCAATGATTTGCTAAATAGTTCAGCTGACCACCTAGTCTACACTCCCTTTCTTTCTTTCCCTTTCTCCCAGAGGGAATTGCTGCTGCTTATATCCATATCTAAAATTCCACTGATTTATGTACAGTTCTTGCATGCCTACACAAATACTCTTTTCCCATCCATTAAGGTATAGCTAGCCCTGAACTGGTTCTCTGTCTTGGTAGGTGTGACAGTTATTGTATTTTCCAGGACAATAGTTGAGCAAGGCCTGCCAAAGCTTAGCTGCAAGATCTGTCCTTATTGTTGAGTACTATAGCTTGGATGCACTAACCTATTGGTTGAAATCCTATTGCTTAGCATAATAAGTTACATAAGAGTAGGCCCATTGAATCATTGGGGATTTGTTGAGTCTCCTCCCCTATCGGTAGGCCCACTGAATCATTGGGGATTTGGTAAGTCTATTCCCCTATCAGTTCCATTGATTCAAATAGCCCTATTCTAGTTACATGCTAAAGTGAAGCCACAACTTGAATAGACCCATTTGACTCAATGGGACTTACAGAGGGGCGACCCATTTGAATCAATGGGACTTACAGAGGGGTTGATGCATCAAATCCCCACTGTTTCAGTGGGCCTACTGTAGTGCATTTTATGCTTAGTAAAAATATTTCAGCCATTTTTTAAAAAATCATTTTGGGCGTGGTTTTTTTTAATCAATGGGACTTACAGAGGGGCTGATGCATCAAATCCCCACTGTTTCAGTGGGCCTACTGTCGTGCATTTTATGCTTAGCAAAAATATTTCAGCCATTTTTAAAAAAATCATTTTGGGTGGGTTTTTTTTAGTAATTTGTGAGCCATTGAGAGAAAGATGGCATGAAAATGAAATTGGATATGTGCCAAGTGCCTTTCTTAGAAACCAAGGCCTGGAGGGGGACCCAGTTCAAGATAGAGGCACAGATTCCTGGCGGCTCAAGTTTCCTTGGATCATTTTTCAACAAGGGGTGAGATTAGCAGATAAGATGCTCAGAAGAAACAGCCCAGAGGCAGGTGCTGCTTCCCGATATCATCTGAGGCAGTTAGTTACCTCACTCTGTCTTAGAGAAACGGAAACCATGGGTGAATCCAGCCCTCCTGGGATCCCAGTTTGTTCCTCTGGATTTACCCAGAGGGCCACATCCCGTTTTCCATGATACTATGTTTTGGTTATTTTCCAGTTTTTAGATAGGTTATCTTGTCTCCATTTTGAACAGTGGAAGCACCCTTCCCAAGTCTTAGTTAATGGCAGTAAGCACTATAAGCTGAAATGTGCTGGTCCTAATTTTTGCCCTGCATTCACCGTTGGAAGGCAGAGCTGAGCTCCCTCTAGAACCTCTCTGAAACTGAATTCAGCCCTTGGCTTGGAAGACGTTCTCTCCTCTTGTTTCATCTAATGGCAAGACTGGCCTTACCCATTAGTATGCTCTCCATCTCATGTTGCAGTGTTTTTTTTGTTGTTGTTGTTAAAACCATTGCACATCACACATCAACTGATAATCATCCTCCTCTGCCTCAACTGTTCTCTGGTTTTATGTATTATCTGCTGTCCTCTGCTGTTGTTTGTGTTCTTAGTTTTCTGTTCTTTGTTGTGTTGATTGATTTTTTCATTATAGGTCACCTTGAGTGTCTGAAATTGAAGCAGAATGCCAGAAAAGAAATTGTCTTATCCATTTGGTGTGTTTAAAAGATATGTACACTACTCCTCACTGCATCCAGAGTAGTTGATAAACAACAGGATAATAATTTTGTTTCTATAATGATCTTAATCATTATAATTAGTTATCCTTCAAATGAGACCATAGGTGAAACATTTAATGCTACACCAATTAGATGGGAATAGCTCAGTGAGACTTCCTTTTGAATATATAGATATTTGGATTGCACTGTCAATTCCACTGCATTGCAGCTATTTTCCTTTAAGGTTCTTTCCTCTATATTTGAAACAAGGAATACTTCCTTTTGAATATATAGATATTTGGATTGCACTGTCAATTCCACTGCATTGCAGCTATTTTCCTTTAAGGTTCTTTCCTCTATTTGAAACAATACAGTGGACCCTTGACTTACAGACGGCTTGACTTACAGACTTTTTGAGTTACAGACTTCTCTGGCCGCAAAATTTAGGTTTGACTTGCAGCCTGAGAATTGACTTACAGACCAGAAAAAAACCAAAATGGAACAAAAACGGCCTGTTATGGGATTAATCGGTTTTCAATGCACTGTAGGTCAATGGAGACTTGACCTACAGACTTTTTGACTTGAGAACCGCCTTCCAATACGGATTAAGTTCTCAAGTCAAGACCCCACTGTACCAATGTGAAGCTTAAGCTTTTCTGAAGTGTGCTCACATTCTTCCTTTTTCTGTGTGGATGGTACCATTTTGGCTAAATACAGATCTGTACCTGGAGAATAAGTTTGGAATTAATGCAGAGCAGGAGTGAGAAATCTTTGAGCTTCCACATATTTTGGCCTACCACCCTCTCCTTCCATCCTATCCAGCATGGTTCATGGTAAGGAAATGTGGAAATGGGAGTTGAAAACATTGGAAAATCAGATGTTCCTCATCCCTGGTTTATGGGATAATGGAAAAAGATTTATCCATCAAAATTATAAATAATGCTTAGTTTTTGATTCTGTTGAGCATCTTGGTCCACAAACAGGTGGGTCCATGGATCGTTTGGCTCCAGGTGTATGGAGAGGCAGAGCTTGAATAATTACCTTTCTGGATATAGTTCCCAACACCCTAATAGATCCATTGTGCTCAGGATGGTGTTGTTACTCTGCAGAACTTGGAAAATGATGAGAGGTAGGGTTCAACTCCCAGTCTCCTTCATCCAGCATGGGTGTCGGCCACAGTGGCCAAGAAATTTGGAGAATTATATTGGAAAGCAGTATTTTTTCAGGCTCTGCAAGGAAGCAAGAGAACTATTTATTGCAGAGTTTCTAGTAAAATTCCTTTTGCTATGCAGTAGAAATATAGAGACCCACAGAGGAGAATAGCTGCAAGTTTCTCAAATTGCACTTCTTTCTCATTAACGGGCACTTAATAACTCACTCTGAGACATTTGCAGGAGAAAGAATAAAGACATTTATTTGTGTGCAGTTCTTTGAAATTACAGACTTGTGCATACTGCTTTCTTTACTTCACATACACTGAGCAACCGACTGAACAGACCAACTAGTACTTCATACGATTTGGAGACCACAATTCTGTTAATGCAGCCTAAAATAACTAAAAAGCATTGGCTTTTTTTTGGAGTTTCATCGCTTTGTTGGCATATATTCACTTGTAATCTACAACAGTTCCAAGATCTTTCTTACATGTAGTATCACTGAGCCAAGTACATACCCCTCATTTTGTAACTTTACATTTGGTTTCTCTTTTTTGGGGGATGTAGAACTTTGCACTAATTCCTATAAAATTTCATTCTGTTGTTTTCAGTCGGATGCTTGAAAACATCTGTAAAAATCTGTTTCTGTCTTCCAGGGTATTAATTTTTCCATCTAATTTTGTGTCATTTGCAAATTTGATAAGCATTCCCTGAACTCTCTCATCCAAGTCATTAATAAAAATGTTGAAGGCACTGGGCCCAGAACTGAGTCTTGTGGTATCCCATTTACCGTATTTCTTCCTTTTTTTAGAAGGAGCCATTGATAAGCACTCCTTGAATACAGTTTTGTAACCACCTGTGTATCCACCTGATATTTGTTCAATTCAGCTCACACCTAGCTTGTTAATAAGAATATCGTAGGGCATTTTGTCAAAAGCTCTGCTGAAATCAATGTATATTACAACTGTAGCATTCCCACCATCCACGAGGGAAGTTACCTGATCAAAAAATGAGATAAGATTATTCTTGCAGGATTTGTACTTAACAAATCTATGTTGGCTTCTAGTATTACTGCAGTGTTTCCAAGATATTTGCAGAGTGACCACTTTATAATCTGCTCCAGATTTTTAACATGAGCCGTGGTTTCCTTTATATTGAAACGCGACACACAAATATCTGTAAGCCTTAATTTGTTCTCTCGTGCTCATCAATTAACCACTTATAGATCCTGAGCCTCTGAGCAAACATTAAAACTTTGATCTTTCAGTAATTTATTTGTAGCATTTCCTCTTTACAGTATTGTGCGAGAGCGCTTTATGAATGTAGTTATATATATATGTATATAGATGTTTTTAGTGCTTTTAGATTGATTTTATGTTTCCTAATTTAAATAATGCTGCTTACTTTTGCTGGTAAACGACCATAATAAAACATTTATTATTATTATCTGCTACAGAATTTTCCCGGGGACTGACTAGTTTTCAGTTCCCAGGATCCTCCTTTTTGCCATTTTTGAAGATAAAGACAACATTAGCTCACTTTCAGGCATCTGGCACTTCACCCATCCTCCCTGATTTCAAGAAAAATAATAATAATAATAATAATAATAATAATAATAATAATAATAATAATAATAATACCCAGTTGATCTAAAAAGATACATTTCATTAAATTATAACTTTGTTTCTTTATCCATATCTATATTTATCTATACATTTAATTAAATAGATTTATTTAAATAAATAATAAAAAACATACTTCAGTTTATTTGTAATTCTCTGTCTAAGATGCTCACACTCACAAGGGTTGTGAATCAGTTGCCAGCTAAGCATTTTCGGCTTTGGCTTCCATTAGCCCCAGCCACCATAATCAACAGTGGTCAAAAATTATGGTAGTTGTGGTCCAAAACATCTGAGGAGCCTCAGCTTGCCTACCCCTGGTTAAGCCAAATTAGGCAAAATGTGTGGATGGTATTCTATATGTTGTGAGTGGGGAGGTATTTGCCTGTTTTAACTTTACCAGAAACCACTTGGAAGAGTAGGAAATCAGGAGCAATAAGACAGGCCAGTTAACCCTTTCACCTACATTTTTCAATCTAGAACCAACCCTCATAGCTTCTTGAGAGAAAAATGTTGTGGCCCATATCTCTGTCCCCTCACACCATCCAAATATGGGAAACAGATGTGTTTTGAATAGGGAAATAGCAGGAAGGGAGAGGGGTTAAGTAGCCTGCAGGGTGGGGGAACGGGGAACTGGGAGTTGCAGTGCTAACCAAACCCCTCAACTTTTATCTGCTCCATCCTGTGGGGCACTCTTCCCCAACCTGTTTTCAGCTAAAAAGTCATGAGATTGTTCCTTTCATTGGATCGTGAGTTGCCCACAGGAACCTGTGCATATTAGAAAGTATAATCTGTTCCGTGGATTCAGGATCCAAACTGACAAAGTCCGTCAGATCGGTCCTGATTTGCATGGCCTCCCCTCCCTGCAACCAGTGAGGTCCAGGAAAAGGAACTCTCTAAGAGCTATAATTGAAAAAATATAACCCTCTTTCTGCAAAAAATATCAATGCAAATGTAGGAATTCCTCACTTCAGTGCTGGCTCTGAATACAAAAATGGGTTCCGGAAACAAGACCTGACTCATAAAGCTTCCCTGCCACCCCGCCACTCCTTTCTTCCTGCTGACTCCACTGGTAATGCCAAGCTTCTGCTTGAGAGTCTATTATTTTTAGCTCCTTCTCTTTTGTGTCTGCCTCTCCTTCCTTGAGGCTCATCTGAAGCAGCTATTCATCTCTTTCAGAGCAAGGACCTGTTTGAGTTCTGGCTGTGCTCCACTGAAGGCCAGGGAAAGCCTCTAATTTGTTTGAGTATACTCTTTATAGTATGTTTGAGCAAGCATCCTGTGTCTTGTGTGTGTCTAATAGTTCAAATCCCTTTTCTTCATGTTGTCTGTTGTGTACCTCCTACTCTTTATTCTTCTTCTCACATTGAAAAGCATTTATCGATTTCTGCAGGCTCAGCCCACACTTCTGATTGAGGCTATATGTTTTGGATCATCTGTGTAAGCCCACATGTTCATTTTATTTTATTTTATTTTATTTTATTTTAGGTTCATAATCTTGCATTCTCAGGGGATCTATAGAAGACTCCCAAAAGTCTGCATTGCTTCTAGCTCTCCACCACCCCGGGTTATGGCTGATCACAAGACCGAATTGGAAGGGTGAAGGGTTAGCGGGGGCTTTGTTTGTTTATGTGTGCCTCTCTAATCCACGCCTCCCATTCGCCCTTTCACTACCCTGCCCGCCTGCCTGCCTCCCTCTATTTCTCCCTGCAGGCCCACGAGCGTCTGGAAGAGACAAAGCTGGAAGCCGTGAGGGACAACAATTTAGAGCTGGTCCAGGAGATCCTTAAAGACATCACTCGCATCGCCCAGCAAGACAGCACGGCTGCAGAATTGGCCCGCATCCTCCAGGAACCGCACTTCCAGGTAGAAGATGACTCCTTCCCAAGAGGGTGGAGGATACAAGGAAGGGAGAGAGGGATAAGAAAAAATGGGAAACCTGCCCAGATTTATGGAAAACATTTATGCTGCTTTGACTGTAAATCTGGGTTTTGCATGAGGTGTGTTTACCATTGGCCTGGTCTGCTTTTGGAGTGTAGCTGTCAGTAAAATAAGTGTGTGTGTGTGTGTGTGTGTGTGTGAGAGAGAGAGAGAGAGAGAGAGGAGAATGCTTTGCACAAATAGTGGAGAGCATTCTTTGTCTCTTTATTCAAAATGAGAAATCTGAGGATTTGTCCAATTGAGTGATGGCGGTGGGGAATGAGTTATAATTTGGGAAATGATGTTCTTTGTACCAATCTAGTAGGGTCTTGTTCAGCCAAACAATACTAATGTGTGGGCTTTGTTACGGATCTGGCCCCATTGCACCTTTTTTTCAGTGCTCTGGGCATTTGTTTCCTGCTATGAATCATTTAATAACATTGTAATTCTATCCATCTTTCTCTAATGAGAAACGTAAGTTTGCATGCAGCAGGTAGCTGTCTCCCGTCAAGGTGCCGATGCTCTTATGATTCATTGTTTTCAGTACAGTTATCAGCTGATTTAGCTTGAAATGCTGTATACATATAAGATCTTCATTCTGTTTATGCTGTTGTGTGTACCTTCGTAGGACGTTTGCTGGTTGTTGGCAGATAAAGAGAGGTTTAGCTGAAGAATGAGGTTTCATTTTGCTTTTTGTATTAAGCTTGGCTGTATTGCTGTTAGGTTATCTTTTGGGGGTTTTTATGGTTTTTTTTCTGTATTGGTTTTTACAATAATGTTACCCATCCTAAGCCTTTGAGTTGGGGTGGGTTATTAATGTTCTCATCTTTCATACGTTTTTGGCATACATATGTGACGGATAGGTTGGAATTTGATTTTAATTTGTGTTTATGAAATCTGCACTTCCCAAAGCTAACTACAGACTGGTTGCTATTTTCATCTGAATACATTTAAAAAAAACACAAAAATCACACGTTTAAAATCTCCAAAAATAAAATTTTTAAAGCTCTCCATTGGAAAATTGCTTTAAAACACTTGTGTTTGTGAAAGAGCATGAAAAAATATGAATAAAAGTTTGAACATTTTAAAGAAATGAGTACGAAAGTACTGACAAAGATCACTACAAGTGTGTGTGTGTTTGGGTTGGGGAGGAATTAAACTCTAGTAAAGAAACAAGACAGAACAAACTTTGACGCTAGGAAAATTGAGTAAAATCAAGCATGACAGATTCACTCATCCCTAACTGTGAACAAAGTGCTGTTCAGTTCTTGCTTTGGTCTGGCTTCCCAATAGCTTGGGAAGAGATATGTTTTTTGCAGCATGGTGGTTTGACACAGGTATAGATTAAACCTTGACGTATCTGACTGTCTTTCTCTTTTATACTGCTTTCGGGCAATGCAAGAAGTTTATGATGAAGATGTGGTTATATGGTATAAAAGGAATTCAGGAAAAGGAAATGTCACATTCTAAAAAAATGGATTTATAACCTTCTGGTCTGATTTTTCCCCAAGAGTCCCAGATATACAGTGCATGTTGCTCAGATTGGGATTGGGATTGTCACTTATTCATAGCACCCAAAGAGGAATGCATCACTTAGAAAGAAGATGCAGATATGCATTAAGATGTATGTGTGCTAATTTATAGATGTAGATGTAAATTTCAAGAGTCATATAAAAATATAAGACACTTTGCAATAGCAAGAAAAAAAACACTAAATAACTGGCCTTGTGTCCCTGCTCTTTCAGCTGTCCAGCATGCTGTCTTTGTTTAGGTAAATTCAAGATCACTACTGTTCCTTCTCATGGTTCTTTATCTTAAAATGAGCATGAACTGGACAGTCCTTCAAACTGAAAAGTATCCTCTATAAAAGAAAGGCACATGACCCTCTTATGGTCTGTATTTTGGGTTGGTGGTGGAAAGTAAGTCCTGGATTGCTGCTTGAACACAGAGATTGCAATGGGGTGAACAACATTGTGGCCCTCCACATGTTTTTGGACTGCTGTTCCTATCAGCTTCAGCCAGCAAAGCCAATGACGGGAGTACATTTCGCTCACCCTGCCCAACAAGCAGAAATAAATCAACAACAGAAATAAATCAATAAAAGAACCAAAGTAATTTGGGTCAGGCTTGAAACTTCCAGCAGGAGTGGGGCTACTGCAAACTCTGCAGGAAGCCACTGAACATCGAAGGTATGGAGAGGAGGCTGATGTTGTTGCACAAAGAAACCTTTATTGAATGGTCAGGACCGGTGGCCTTTGGTTGTACGAGTTCCATGGTTAAGGCATTCTGGACAACATGCCTCTTGGAGAGTCTCCTCTTTGTCTTATTTTAGTAAAGCCCTGCTAGTCTTACTGGGAACAGTAAAAGCAGCAGCACTGGAAGGCTTCTAGTCACTAAGTAAAAATTCTACCAATTAGGTAGTGTAAATTAGGATATCTGAGGTGGGAGCATAGGCATGTCATGTCCCTCTTTACCACAACAGGTGACTCTTTCAGATGTTGATCTAGAACCGTGTTTCCCAACCTTGGGTAACCCAGGTGTTCTTGGATTGCAATTCCCAGAAGCCGTCACCACCAGTTGTGCTGGCTCTGGATATCTGGGAATTGCAATTCAAGAACGCTTGGGTTACTCAAGGTTGGGAAGCACTACTTTAGAGCAATGGTTCCCAACCTTGGGTAACCCAGATGTTCTTGGACTAAAACTCGTAGAACACCACTAGCTGTGCTGGTCAGGAGTTGTAATCTAAGAACATCTGGAGACCCAGGGTTGTCCTGATCTAAAAATATTTTCCAGAAGAATGGGAAGGATGCCCAAATTGGGGAAATTATCTGATCTTCTGCGAATTACAGTCTCCTCTTTCACTCCTTTCTCAGTCTCTCTTGGAAACCCACGATTCTGTTGCCTCCAAAAGCTACGAGACTCCACCACCCAGTCCTGTCCTGGACCCCATGTTCAACAACCAGCCAGTGCCACCAGATGCAGTGCGCATGGTGGGGATCCGTAAGACCGCCGGGGAACACCTGGTGAGCAAGCTTCTTCCCAATGCTATTGGCTTGGATGTATATCTTTTTAATAACTGAGTATTCAGTAGAACTGTAGCAGAAAACATTGACTGATGGAGTAGTTTCAGTGTACATAGTGAGTAGAAAATAACATAAAGAGATGCTCCTTCTCAAGGAGTGTTCCATTTGGCTTTCACAGTGCATGGGGAACAATAGGGGCAGGTGGAAGAGCAAAAATAACAAGCATTAATATGAGCAAATACAGTTGCTTTTATTTTTTTTTCAGAGGGGTAGGTATGTTCGTCTGTTGAAGGAAACCCAATAAATAGATTTGTGGCACCTTAAATGACATATGTTTTATCTGGCATATGCTTTGGTAGACTGAAGCTGACTTCTTCAAAGCCTAAACCAGTTTACTCCAGAGTCCAGACTATTACACTTGAAGAAGTAGGCTACAGGTTTATGCTAAATAAAAATCCCAAGTCTTCTAAGATTTCACAAACGTCTTAGTTATTTTTACATTGACTTGGAAGATTTTGATAAAGACTGACATCAGCTAGAAAATTCATTTGAGGCTGATTGAAATTTGGGATGGGGGGAAATGCCCCTTGATTGAATCAGATTCCCTGGAGTGAAGCAGAGGTACCCTCCCCTGCGTCAAGAAATAGTTTGTCTTGCTTCTGAGCCAAAGTGGGTTTTGTGGAGTGCAAGTAGCAACCAGGTTAAGGGGAAGGAGAAAGAAAATGGGAAAAGACTGAAAGTTTAAGGAGTGGGTGAAGTATTGGTGCCTGTCTGGGTAAGAAAAATCAAAAGAAAAATGGATGCCAAGGATTTTTTTCCCCCTTGCAACAGTCTGATGTGCAGTTTTTGGGTGTGGTGCAGCTGGGGAGGGAAGGGGTGTACTTTCCTTTCCCACGTGCTGTGGCTGTGATAAAAATTCTCCACAAATATGTACATGTGCCTGCTAGCCATTAAAAAACTTGCTGTGCACATGACGTGCTTAGCATAATGTCTTGTTTGTCTTGGTAAACAATTCCTTTCCCATAATTTATCTAGATTAAAGAACCTGGCTTTCTTGGTGCAGGATTACCCTGCTTTTGTGTGTACATTTCAGAGTGAAGTTGGGAGAGGTGACTTTAGCACAGAGAATAATGGTATAAATATATCATGCTTCCCCACCGTTCCCCAGCAATTTGAAGTGACTGATTGGTATTTATAGCCATATAATTAACATGTTGTGCTCCATAGTTTTATTAGGGTGAAAACTGCCAAACTGCAATTAGAAGGCATTCTACTTAATGTTACAGATGTAAAGCTTTTCCTTTTTAAGGAGATAGCATTCTAGCATTGGAAATCTAGAGTGCATACAGATTTGGGTTTCTCTCAGCAGTGGTTTACTCTGGAAGAATGTTTACAACATTTTGTTCAAAGCATGAAGTTTTTCTCTGCACTGTTTGTTCAAGGAGAAGCTAGTTCTAAGAGTCTGTTGCAGAAACTGTGTACACAGCACTGACTGGCTGATGCCTGTGACATTGTACCTTCCCCATCCTGAGACCAGTTTTCCAAATCTCTTTGTGGATGATATTTTTTCAAAACAGCATCTGAGCCATGAAAGAGGGGGACCTATGTCCTTCATATGTCAGTGACACCTGCCCCCCCCATTCCTATGGCCTGTGACCACTGGCCATGTTGACTGGAGTTGATGGGAGCTGAAGGCAAACAAGTTCTGGAGGAACCACAGGTTTTTCAAACCCCTGATAGTATAAATGAATGAATATGCAAGTATGATACTTAGACAAACCTGGTGGGTTCCACGCCTTTCCCTCTTAGCCCCTTCAAAGCCTCATATTTTCCACACATAACTGGAAAACATTTCACACCTCACTGCATAGGACACAACCTGGGATGATAAATGACAGAAAAACTATTCTTCTCATAGTTTGCAGGGGAATGCAGTGAATGTCGATAATGCATACTAGATCTTTCTCATCATACCTAGTTATCAAATGTGAATAACTCCTTCACCCTTACTCCTTGTTTGCTTCTTTTCCTTTAGGGTGTGACATTCCGGGTAGAACGTGGCGAGCTGGTCATTGCACGCATCCTGCATGGGGGCATGATTGACCAGCAGGGGTTGCTTCATGTAGGTGACATCATCAAGGAAGTGAATGGGCAAGAAGTAGGTAGTGACCCACGAGCACTCCAGGAGGTGTTAAAAAATGCCAGTGGAAGTGTTGTGCTCAAGATCCTGCCCAGCTACCAGGAGCCCCACCCACCACGGCAGGTAGGAGACATCCCTTGTAACAAGTGTTTTCACCTTGTCTCCCAAATATGGTGTTGCTAATTGCTACCCATACCTTTTACCACAGCAAAAGTAGAATATGTTCTTCGTCTATAACTGAAAGGAATATATTCTTCATCCACCTGTTTCTCTACAATAGGGTGGACAACATACATCTAGCAGATTGCATCTGGCCTTGTTTGGACATTTTTGCTTCATTTACATTACCTCTTTCTCCCCACCATTCCTGGATTGATTGATTGATTGATTGATTAATGTACTTTTTTCCCATTGCTTCCTCAGAAAGATTTTCTTCCAAAAATCATTTTTGTTATCTTGTAATAGTATTAGGACTGTCAACCAATTAATGGATTCATGATCAGTTTATCATTTGCCTTTCAATGAATGTATATTGGTGAAAATGTCAATATTGGTGCTTTTTTTATCCAGCTATGGCGAGAAATGTATGATAGCTTATGCTTCAGTAATGCAAGCCATTTCTTCTTGTTAGCAAAAAGGACTATCTTTAACCTCTTCTTTGTCATACACGGTCACAGAAACTCATCTAGAATTGAAATAGTCTCCAGCAATAAACAGATGTCTCATCAGTTTGTAGCCCTACAAATTCTAAGTTAATCAGTACAATCTTAAGTTAATTAATTGACAGATTTGAACCAGTTGCTGGTTAAACTGATTAAAGCAAAGCCACATTGGCCCTTTTTTTGACTTGCCTTTGTTCCTGTTTGCTAGAAGGATGGAATAAAAACAAAACAAAATAAAATATATTAACAATAACATTCCCTTTTTGCATAGCTAAGTCCCCAATTTAATTTTTTTAACCATATACAGAGTATTAGACTATGAGGAATCTCCAGAGAAGACTCCATAAATATGGATCAAATTGTTTTTCTATGTGCCCTTGGCTGGCTGTTATCCCACACATCCTTGGCACCAATGGCATGCCATCTGGATAAAAACTGACAGTCTCAACTGGGGATAGTCTGTAGGGCAAGAAGGTAATAGAGTGGAATGAAGCAGAAATCCAAAGTCAGCACCTTGATCAGCACCCTGTGGAAACTAAAGATAAGCTTGCATTAGCCAGTCTCACCTAGGACAAAGAGATGCAGGACCTGGCAATCTTACTCTAGCAGTAGCCTGCTAAGTAACAGGGGCTGAAACAATCCTTTTTTTTTTTTAAAGGCTGAACTGCATACAGCTTAGGCCTCTGGTGGAGCTTACCTGGATGGACTTTCTAGAATCTGTAAAATATTTTTCTGCTTTTTTAAAATATAAAAACCCTTTGGGAATAGTGGGTCAACCATTTTTTAAAAAACCTCTTTACTCTGTTTACAAGTATAGTGGAATCAACACACAGCTTTGATCTCAGGTTTCTGGTCTTTCTGAATAGAAGACTGGAGAAAGCTGTGGCAGATGAAACCCAGTTTTAATGGACTGAGTTCTTGGAGAAGTGAACTCACTAAATTACAGAATATCCTGATTGGCAGATCTCAGATGGGAGTGATTTAAGCATTTTGCTATTTGAGGTAAACGACAAGGTGGCTACCCCTTCTCATTCGATGTACAAAAACCAAGTGGATTGGTTGCTGAGTCTCACTTCAGTGCTGGTGACAAGACAGTCTCCTCTACCTCAGTAGTTCTCAACCTTGTGTCCCCAGATCTTCTGGGACTGCTACTCCCAGAAATCCTAGCCACCATAGTTAGTGGTGAAGGCTTCCAGGAATTTTAATCCAGGAACATCTGGGGACCCAAGGTTGGGAACCATTGCTGTACTGCACCCTATGGAAGCCAGCTGTGCTGGAAATCAGGTCCCTGTTCTTTAACACTTTGACTCACTTTTTCTGCTCAGAAGCCAAAGTTCTTACACCAGCTGCTTTCCCCAAAAATATTTGCTACCTGAGAAAACTACCTCACGTTTCTCCAACTGGTCCTTCTTTCCAGCAAATATGCAAGCGGGAACTTAGCTATCCAATAGATTTTTCTCATTTCCAAATATTGTTCAGCTCTTCATAGTTTAAACATAGCTACAAATTTAAATGGACATTTGGAGAAAACCAACACCTTTCAATCCATCTTTTTTAGGGGGTGGGGGGGAACCACTGTTCATAGCTTAATGTGAAAATAGAATGAAATAATGGGTAAAAACACATGAAAGTGACACACAAGCCATCAGCATTATTTGTTCATTTAATTTCTTCAAACTGAAGCTGAACGTTGTAACTCCTCCTCTGTTGGCGGGTGATGAATAGGAGAGAGAGAAAATTTTGCTGCCTCAGCCTGTCCTTGTGACAATGTCCCCATAACCCAGCTCCTCTGTTGCTGAGCTGCTTTTCTCTTCTGCTCCATCACACTCACCCCTTTCTTGCATCATGCGGGAAGGTTCAAAAGTGAGTGAATGCTTGGGTGGTTTGGGCAAAGCAGCGTAAGAATTTAATAAGCAGATGTCAACTCAATTACATGTGGCCCACTCATGGTCCCCTGAACATGGGGGAAAAAAAGCCCTGTAGACTTGTGTCATACACTGCTTTGGTAACCTGGTTCTCAGGGAGCCCCAAATCGCCACAAGCATTTTCTTCTACTCAGGACTCATTGCTCTTACCTCAGCTGCTCCTCATGGGCTTCAACCCATTTGGTTCTCACTTCTCAGGGAACACCAGTTCTGCTTTCTTTGGTCTCCTTCTTTTGAATGATATGAGGAAAAAATAGAATCTGCATCATGCGGGAAGGTTCAAAAGTGAGTGAATGCTTGGGTGGTTTGGGCAAAGCAGCGTAAGAATTTAATAAGCAGATGTCAACTCAATTACATGTGGCCCACTCATGGTCCCCTGAACATGGGGGAAAAAAAGCCCTGTAGACTTGTGTCATACACTGCTTTGGTAACCTGGTTCTCAGGGAGCCCCAAATCGCCACAAGCATTTTCTTCTACTCAGGACTCATTGCTCTTACCTCAGCTGCTCCTCAGGGGCTTCAACCCATTTGGTTCTCACTTCTCAGGGAACACCAGTTCTGCTTTCTTTGGTCCCTTTCTTTTGAATGATATCAGGAAAAAATAGAATCAATTTTTATTTATTTTATTTATTCTATTTATATCCCGCCTATCTGGTCTTGCGACCACTCTAGGCGGCTTACAAACACATGAAACAACAAATAAAAATATAACAAAAAGAAATTATTATATCAAATAGCAGTACTTCAAGATGGAGAGGAAAAAAAGGAGAAGAGGAAAGAATCAAATATTAACTGGCGGGAAAGCTTATTACCTCATAAGCGGAACTGGCCAGAGATATTCTGGCATCTGACAACTTCCCTCCCCCATATATAGAAGCTAGCTTTGCAGTTGTATTTTTACCCCTCAACACTGGCTAAGAGTGTCCTCCAGTTTACCTCATGCAGCAGGGTAGGTTAGGGGGTTGAGGACAAGCTATGTGGTATCTGCTACTGTTGCCTCACTCAGCCTAAGGCTACCCTCACATTGGCCTTTGTACCTCTCTCACAGAAGTGTTACCTAATGAAAAGTACAATCCTATATTTTAATAGAGTACTTAATAGATAAGAAGATAAAATGGATAAATAGGTAACCATGGGTCAAAACAGGTGCTACAGGGAACGTCACAATTATAAGCAAAGCCAACTTGAGCAGTAAAGGACATCTGATTATCCTGTTATGTTTTTCACGTCTCTAGAATGTGTAAACCAGTTTGCTTTGGTTTGGTGATTGACCCTCTCTTGTGCAAACATGGCATCTGGATATGTTATTGACTTCCTAATTTCTCCTATAGAATATCAATATTACACAGTGTGGCAGTTTGATCCCACTTTACCTGTAACGGCTCCTTCCTGTGGAATCATAGGATATGTAGGTTTGTGAGGCAGTTAGAATTCTTTACTATAGTTTAAAGGATTGCACCAGAGTGCTCTAGCACAGACTTCTAAAGACTTCACCAAACTTCAAATCTATACAAAAGGATCCATGGCCATTAAAGAGAGATTGCATTGCTATAGCCATGTTGTATAGAAACATTCCTAATGGCAGTGCTGCCCAACCCATCTGTTTTATCCGTCAAAGTAGGATTGCAGCCTAAGTCAGGCAACATGCTGGGTCCATTTATGAGCAATTGTAAGGCTATTTATTAATTTTAACATAAACATGACATGAGGAAATGAAGCAAGTTAGACAGCATGCTGAGTGAAATTACAGTTTACACTCTCCATCAATTCACAGATGAAAATAGGAGGACACTTGTAAGTAACTAGGGATGTGTGAGGAATTTGATCTTTGTGAATTTTGACACAAACTGACATTGTTGCCATCTTTCAGGATAAAATGCCAGCCACAATGCCACTGCCTACCAGATTATGCACCTCTCTGAATTTTTCTGACATAATTTTGGTAGATTGTAGGCTTATTTTGGGAGCAAGCAGATATGGAGACTTTGAAAGGACAACAAAAATTGATTTGCTGTGATACAGGAATCTTACAGGACTTGCAAATTTCTTATCAAGGTATCTCTTCATGTCAAGAGAGTCAAAGATGAAAGGAAAGCCGTCTTTGATCCTGGACTAGCTAGCCACTATGCTAAATATGGACACTCAGAATAGATCTTCCCTGAGCTGACTGGATAGCTTAGTGGTTTAGGTCTCTGGCTGTGGAGCCAGAGGTTGGGAGTATGATTCCACACAGGGATGAGAGCCAGCCTGTGTGGCCTTGGCAGGCTGCCCAGGCCCCCCTAGAAGCACCCCTAGAAGAAGTGAGTGCTAAACTACTTCTGAGTATTCTGTACCTGGAACATCTTGAAAAGGGTTGCCATAGGTCAGAATTGGCTTGGCAGCACATGTATTATTGTCATTTCAACAAGACACCTAGTGAAATACTTGATTCTTGCTTTACAACAGGGGTGGGGGGCATGTAGCCCTCCAGATGTTATGACTTCAACTCCCATCATTCCTCACTTGCACAATTAGCTATGTTGGCTGGGGAGAAGCATCCCTGATTCTGTTTATAAGCCTCTTGCAAGGGGTGCTTCCCTTTGTACATGTCCGTAGGGTCACAGCTTCCTTACACTCCACTGCTTTCTGTGTATATACTTTGTAAACATAGATTGCACGGGGGCAGTTTTCAGTATTCTGATTCAGCATGAAATGTGAAAGGCAGGAAAGAATTTGACTAAATCGGAGGATGACGTGATTCTGAGGCATACGTGCGTGGTGGGTGCAGAATGCTGCAGTGTCCTCTTGGATGATGGAATCAGAGCTGTTCTGGGAAGTAATAGAAATGCTCCAGACGAAGAAAGAGGGAGCGTACAAGATTGTATAATGTGTTAGCAACAGCTAGCTCCCTGCCACAAAGCCTGTGCTGATTCAAAAGGGGAGGGTTGCACGGGAAAGGGAGAGTGACGTTAGTGGTAATGGAGATGGGGAAGGCTTGTTTTCATTTGGATATAATCCTGCTCCTTTGTGGAAGCAAAGCAGATTATTTCACGCCAATAAGCATATAAAATGGATGGCGGCTAAATACAGCCTGATGGGAGAAAGCAGTGGAGGGGAGGGTGTTGCTTCCCTGTGTAAGGCTGCTTGGGAGGAAAAAAACCTACTGGTAACTATAGCCAATGGTTCAAAACCAGTGTTAATCATACCTAAAAAACTTCCAGGATCTTGCATCTGAAGTTGACCCACAGATGCTTACACCAAATGCACCATCTTCATCTTCAAGGTGCCACAAGACTCCCTGCTGTTAGTCTTGCCTAGAGTAGACCCACCAAAATAGACGGGTCAGAAATTGATTGTGGCTTCAAATCAAATCCTCATGTATTTTAATCAGTCTACTTTAAGTAGGGCTAAAATAGATGTAAGAGGTGGCTCGGTAGCTTAGTGGTTTAGAGGCTGCAAGTTCAATTCCTCGTGCTGTCTCCTGAAAACAGAGCCAGCCTGTGGGGCCTTGGGCAAGATGCACCATCCTAAGGCATCCTCAGAAGGAGGGAATGGCAAGCACACCTGAGTATTCTCTGTCTAGAAAACTCTGAAAAGTGTCGCTGTAAGTCAGAATTGACTTGAAGGCACATCATTATTATGGGATACCCAGTGTGGTGTAGTGGGTAGAGTGACAGAGTAAGAACCAGGGTTCAAATACTACTGGTGTAGTGGGTAGAGTGACAGAGTAAGACTCTGGGAACCAGGGTTCAAATACTATTCAGCTATTAAAACTCACTGGAGGAGTGGAACTGGTAAAACCACCCCTTAATCATCACATTTACACTGAAAGCCTTGTTAGGGTCAATATAAGTCAGTTCTGGCAGCAGCAGCAGCAGCAAAAACAACAACAACAGCAACAACAGCAACAACAACAACAACAACAACAACAACAACTTGGATTTAACTCCCAGAAGCCATTGCACTTTGGAAGGGCAGAAGATAAGACTGAGCAAAACAAGGAGGGAAAAATATATTTGATGTGTATGCTTAACTTTTTCTTTCCCCTAAATTATCTTTTCAGTAATTTTCTGTGTGGCTTCCCTCTCATCAAAGCATATCATTCTCACTTCAGTCCTGCTGGAGGCTACTGTCAAAAACAGGCAAAGAGGCAGGGAAGAGGTGACGCGTGACCATCACTCAGAGATGCTTCTCAGATCTCAACAATGACCCCAGCCTTCCAAACGGGCTTTTAAAGTGGGAGCCACTTTTTCATCTGGCTCTAGTTACATGTGTTTACAACATGGGATATAGTTTGACTCTGAGTGAAACAAAGCTTTTACATTTGTAAAAATGTATTTAGTAATGCCTCCCATGGCCCTCAAGTTAATCTCCTATCACATGCCTCCCTTGCAGTTTCAGCTTTTATAATGATGATCATTCTAACTTGAGTCCTAAGAGGGACCCTGCCTTTAGCATCTGCACAAACCTTCTATCATAAATCAGGGTGAGATGGCTTGCTCAGGTCTTTTGGGAAGGACAGCAAACTCTTCATGGTATATAATTTATTATTAAGGCATCTTTCCTGGCCATGCATTTGTGGGATTTTTCTCCCTTGGGTTCCATAATAATCGTTTTTGCATAGCTTGAGTGGAGTGGGATGGGGAGTGGACATGTGTTGCTATGTCTCATGCATCAAAGTGTCTTGGGTCATTTCTGTGCTAGCTTCCTTTCCCTAAGAATCAGTGCTGATCCCCACTCACTTTCCAGATCACAGCATGTGTGAATTGCAGGCATTGTTCAGAAATGTCCCTCTTTTGGACCACAGCTTCCAGAATTCCCACAAACAACTGTAGGGCCTAAAAGGAACATTTCTCATCTCTGTGTGCTGGTGCATTTGAACCCCAACACCATTCCTTATAGAAAGAAACTCTAGGTTGCATGGGAATGGGTTTAGAGAAAATATGGTCCTTCCATCAGGATTTTCTTCTTTACTGCTGAACAGGTGCCCAGCCTGTGTGAGTTCATCAGCAAACATCAGTCTGTGTTTCTCCTCAGCCCACAATGGGGACAGGTGGGAATGCGAGCCAGCAAAATGGCTCCTACCAACAGGCTTCAGTTTCCCAGGAGACGTCAGTGGTTTGTGGCTCCTGCAGATGCAAATAAATAGAGTCTGTGATTAAAAACAAGGGGCGGGGGAGAGGGAATTCCTTCCTGGCACACACACTTGGAGCCTTCCACTACCAGGATTCATTGTTTCAGGGAGAGGCAACTGGTAAAATAAAGACTGTGCCAACCATGTTTTCGCTGCTGAGATTTTCTGACAGCTTTCTGGCTTTGCCCTCGACTACTGGATGGTTCCTTTTCAATTCACAATGAAGGTGGTGTTGATAAGAATAATATGTTCCCATGGTAACCACTCATTTATCGCTAATGAAAATGATGCCATGCCTTATTCTTGCAAGGAAATGTAGTTTTAAATGTTTTTTTTTAAATAGCAGAACTTGCATTATGTCTTTAAAGTACTGGCTTATAGTAACAGTTACCTCCATAGGGTGGCCATTTGGCCTGCTTTACAGAGAAGAGTCCTCTGTTTTGGGCTTGTCAGAGGACAGCCCTTTGTTTCAAGTGCCTTATACTCTAGGTAAAGGTAAAGGTTCACCTTGACATTTAGTCCAGTCATGTCCGGATCTAGGGCGCAGTGCTCATCCCCGTTTCTAAGCTGTAGAGCCAGCATTTTGTCCAAAGACAGTTTCTGTGGCCACATGGCCAGTGCGACAGAATGCTGTTACCTTCCCACTGTGGTGGTACCTATTTATCTACTCACATTTACATGCTTTCAAACTGCTAGGTTGGCAGGAGCTGGGAGAAGTGACGGAAGCTCACTCCATCGCGTGGATTCGATCTTATGACTGCTTGGTCTTCCGATCTTGCAACACAGAGGCTTCTGTGGTTTAACCCACAGCACCACCACGCCCTGATGCCTTATACTCTGAGGGCTTTGCTAAAACCTGGCTGAAAAATATACAGATGCATTATGTGTATGTCTGTGCATAAACTCTCCCCTGTTTCCATGCTTTAAATTAGCTTTGGGCAAAGTGTATATCTCCATATGTACTTGGTCTGCAACCTTTGGCCTTCCTTATCATTGCCCCAAATCCTGTCCGTATAACTTTACCTGATGACATAATCAGATTCGACTGTATGGTTACTCAAACAGGCTTTTGGCTGTTGACTGTGTTGGCTAGGGCTGAAGTCAACATACCCTCCTAGCTGCACGGGGGCTGCTCAGCCAAGCCAGTGTTGCCGCCCACTTGCTTCTAGTTACAGCTGAAAAACATTGGCTGGCGTGTATTCATTTTTTGATCACGTGTATTTTTTTAAAAAAAAGAAATACTGAGATGAATCAACTATTAGCATTTACTAGCTATAAATGAAATGTAACTATTCATCCTCCTTCCACAACCAACTAATAAGTAACATGATACTTTTTTGGTGTAACAGTTTAAAACCCAGAAAATGTGAAATTCCCAGACCTCCGTAACTCCATCAAGAAATACTTCTCCATCAAGTTCCATGTTCTCAATTCCTTGTTTTTAGTACACATTCATCCACAGTGGCATTCAAGTTCCTAGGGATCCAGTGCTGGCCAGTCCCATGGTCTCTTGCACCAGCCTTCTGATTCTTCTTCCCCTCTCCAAACCTTCCCAACACACCTCACACATTCTTCCCTCCCCTCCTGTAGGTGTTTGTGAAGGCCCACTTTGACTACGACCCTGCTACTGACAACCTCATCCCATGTAAAGAAGCTGGCCTTAAGTTTGCGGCCGGAGACCTTCTCCAGATTGTCAACCAGGATGACCCCAACTGGTGGCAGGTATGGACTCGGGTCCACTGATTGTGGGTAGCATCAAGCTCAGTGGGAGATTGCAGATGGATGAAATTAAGAGGACTTTGTGTGTATGTGAGAGGAGATGCCCTCTTCACGATCCCAGTCTTGCCCTGCCCCATGTGTTTCAATGATCCTTTCTCATTGCAGGCGTGCCATGTGGAGGGTGGTAGTGCGGGCCTGATCCCAAGCCAGCTGCTGGAGGAGAAGCGCAAGGCATTTGTGAAGCGTGACCTTGAAGTCACTCCTTCCTCAGGTAAAGTGAAAGAGGATCCTACTGTTAGGCAGAAAGAGGCAACAGCTGCTGGCTGGCAGATGCTGAGAGGTGCAAAATGCACAGGGCTAGTCAGTATGGCTGTTGGGTGTACCCCATGCTGCCTAACCTTCCTTGCTGTCCTCAGGTGTAGTGGAGGATGCTGTCTTGTCACCGGAGCTAAGATTCCCTTGCTAATCTGTTTGGCTTTTTGTACATTGAATCAGGCAGGGCGAGTGGGTGAGCACATGGCCACCTTGTCCTTTGCACTTAATGTCTTAAGCAGCCCTGGCTAACGAAGACACTTCTAGCTGGTAAAACTGGAATAGCCTTTGAGAAAGTGGGGTACAGTCTAGGTTATTTTGCACAAAATATCTTGTCTGCCATGCAGAATACAAGGTTTTGTGCAAAATGCAAGGGTTTTTCCACACATACATGCAACCCCCCCTCTTTTTTTTACTGCTGGTGCTGACAAGGAAGGAAGGAATAAACAAACGAATGAATGGAATGAACGATTGAATGGAATGAACGAACGAACGGAATGAACGAACGGAACGAACAAACTGGGCATTTCACTCATTCTCAAAAGTAAAAACTTTCAAAATGGCTCATAGTTTTCTTAACAGGGGTTTCTCAATGGACCAAGACATCCTTTTTTTTGTCAAGGACAATATAAATTGAAAGTATGTATTATATCCATAAAACACAGAGAGACAGAGTCCAAGCACAGGAAGACTGGCTGATCTACATATAACAAAGAAACAGACAAAATCCCTCCTGTGCTTCTAATCCTAAACAGTCTGGGCAAAGAAGCAGAAGCCATCATCATTGTGTGGCGTTCATATTATTTACACTACGGCATTATTTACACAATAACAAGCTTTCCTCTCTCCACTGCGACTTAGTGTCTCTTTTCTCTACCTGGCAGGTGCCCTGTGTGGAAGCCTCAGTGGAAAGAAGAAGAAAAGGATGATGTATCTGACTACCAAGAATGCAGGCAAGACGTTTCTCTGCTGTACTTTATCTTACATTATCCAGCTGCAAATGTAGCTACAGGAGAACCTTAGCAGAACTGTATTCACAGTAATCTACACCATCCCAACGTGCTTTTGATACATGATGCAGTGACCTCCCCTCCACCCTTTGATCCTGCTTTTATCCTCAATGTAAAAAGAGAGAAAGAGGAGCATATTTAGATAGATGGCAGAAGGCAGCAGCAAAGGATGGCTAAAAGCGCAGTGGAGATGGACAGCAGAGAAGCAGGGAATGGCTCTCTAGGTTGGATTTTTCAAAAATGCATGCTGGAAAAGAGTTTGGGGGCTCTTGTTATGAAATAGACTTACAAGCCCTCATAGTTTTAGTTTTATTTAAGCCCATCATGATAGAATTTCATTTGCATCTGTAAAGACAGCTTCTTTCAAGAAAATGCAACTGTGTTCCTGCAACAGGTAATTAATAGGTTTCTATTCACTGCCAAGCAGTTTAGCATGGATAAGTTTTAGCAAGTTCGGAGCAGTGTTTGAAAGCAGCATATTTTATGTAACAGTGTTGCCTGGTGTCCATTAATTTGGAGGGTAATAAGGGCAACAAAGCTTTTAAAAAGAAATATATGTTTGGGGTCAGTGGGAAGTGGGTGTGATTAACTCCAGACAAAGGGATGGATATATACAAGCCTTCAAAGGTCTGGAGTATGTCCACCTGTGGTTTACACACAAATCTCTACTTAACATCAAGGAACAGCTACATTTGAACATCAACATGCTTCTAAAGACACTCATTTTGAAAACAAAGACCTAGAATATTAATTAAACCTGAAAAAGACTTAGTGTTGTTGTTTGGGGGGGGGGACGCACATTTGCTTGCATATGTTCACAGTCATCTCAAGCTATTTTTGAGATGAAAAGAGGTCAACTATTTCATTGCTTATTGATGGTCAATTGTTTATTGTTTTGGGAATCGATTTAAAGGGTTAATTAGAACACAGTTTGGCAAAATGGTTTTAAGCGGTCACTTTTTAAAAGCATGTCTCATCATCATCATCTTGAACTCCAGAGCTGAAAGGGACTCAGAGGATTATCATGTCCAGCCCATATCAAAATAGCACAGTGAGGAATTGAACTCCTAGCCTCTGGCTTCACAGTCAGATACCTAAATCATTAAGCAATCCAGCAGTTCTTTTTATAATCTTAGAACTGCAGAACTGGAAGGGACCCTATGGATCACTGAATCCAGCCTCTATCAAGGAGGCGCAGTGTGGAATTGAACTCACTACTTCTGGCTTCTCAGCCAGGTACCTAAAGCAGTGGTTCTTAACCTTTGTTACTCAGGTGTTTTTGAACTGCAACTCCCAGAAACGTCAGCCAGCAGAGCTGATGGTGAAGGCTTCTGGGAGTTGCAGTCCAAAAAACATCTGAGTAACAAAGGTTAAAAACCACTGACCTAAACCACCGAGCGAAACCAGCAGTTCTCAAAGTCAGATTTCAAAAGAAGTGTGGATGGGGAATCAAATTTTGAAATTTTACTCAAGTTTGATTTGGGTCCAACATGCCATTTTGGTCTTAGGAGAGATATGGAATGTTCTGTGAAAGCTAGATTTGTGTAGGCAGATCATTGCTGTCAAATGATGGAGGTTAAGATGACACACAGCCCCTCTGCAATCGAACTAATGGTGACTTATTTCCCATGCTGCACAGAGTTTGACCGTCATGAACTACTGATCTACGAAGAGGTGGCCCGCATGCCTCCGTTCCGCAGGAAAACTTTGGTGCTCATCGGTGCCCAGGGAGTGGGCCGTCGCAGTCTGAAGAATAAGCTTATCATGTCTGACCAGTCGCAGTATGGAACTACCATCCCATGTGAGTTAAGGCATCTTGACCTTTTGATTTGTTCCCAGTGGGTTTATATGAATGGCATAATTTTACTCCTGTTATTTCCCGGCTAGGAACATGGACATGGGTCGGTTTCGTTCTTGTTGATATTTTCAGTAGTTTATCTGTGCTCTTGCTCTATTGCTATTCAATTCTGAATTGCAAGACAACTTTTTTTTTAAATTACTGCATGGGAATTCACAGGTGTTTTTCGGTTCATAGGTGAATTTTTCAAACGTAATCATTTTGATTTGTGCACATTTTGGACGTTGTACAGTATTCATGGTTTTGTGTGCATTCCCTCCCTGCACCACCAGAAATGCTTTACAAGCCTTAGAATTGTACAGATTCCCAGAGATCCATACTGTTGCCAGTCCTGGTGACCACAAAATGGATATTTCTGTCGAAAATCCAATCTATTTCTTTCTTTTTATCCCTGTTCACTGCACTGTGTCAGGGTGAGTGCATTCAGGGCTACTTTTCATGGTCTGTTTCTTTGGAAGGAGATCTATCTTTTTGGATAGAAAAGTTAATTGATTTTGTAACTACAGTATGGAATCTAAAAGATTCAGAAACAACTTCCAAAATGCTGGGAGACAGCGAGCAAACATCAGTGATTTTAACTTATCAGAAACTGTAGCTGATGACCATAAACATGTTCTGACTTCACATCATCAGCAGGGGGAGATAGTGACCACCTTGATTTCTGAAAGGCTGTGATTTGATCATCGACCTGATGCTATGGTGAAGTGTTATCTAACCTAAATTCCAGGTTGGAAAATGGGACCTTGTGCACCAGAGAATCATCCAGGTTATTGCATGACCTGTGGGAAAGCCATTTGGGAAGGAGACAAGATACAGATTGTCCTTCTCTGCAAACAAAGACAATAGCAATATGCCTCTGCATTTACTGATGTGAGCTTTAGTAGAAACCCTACAAAAACTTTGCTAAAGTTTACAAAGGACCTGGTTTTTACAAGGGACAAAGCTATGATTTTTCCTGTAGTGATGTATGGACCATAAAGAAAGCTGACCACCGAAGAATTGATACTTTTGAATTGTGGTGCTGGAGAAGGCTCTTGAGAGTCCCCAGGACTGCAAGGAGAACAAACCTATCCATTCTAAAGGAAATCAACCCTGAGTGCTCACTGGAAGGACAGATCCTGAAGCTGAGGCTCCGATACTTTGGTCATCTCATGAGAAGAGAAGACTCCCTAGAAAAGACCCTGATGTTGGGAAAGTGTGAAGGCAAGAGGAGAAGGGGACGACTATAGGGAACCATTAACTGAGAACCAGCCTCAGCCAAAAGTTGAATTAAATACCAGGGAGAGATCTCTGATAGAATACAACAGGCAGTCTTTAGTTATGAAGCATATCACCGGTGAGGAGGATGTCTGCCTGTTAACAATGAATCCTGTTAACCATGTGTTCCTGTTAACCAAGTGTTCCTCCTCCTCCCCAGAGGCATGTCCTTTTATTAAGTAGCATCATTTAAATACAAGATAAGAGATAGCCAATGACACGTCGTACTCTACACATTCCAGAAATTCCACACATGCGCAGAGAGAGTCACAGAACAATGTTTGGTTAGGCTAAGCACCACTGTTGTACCCCTTAATAGCCATAAGATGGAGCTCTAAACTAAGATCCTTGTCACTACAGACGACAGAGGATGAGATGGTTGGACAGTGTCATCGAAGCTACCAACATGAATCTGACCCAACTCTGGGAGGCAGTGGAAGACAGGAGGGCCTGGCATGCTCTGGTCCATGGGATCACGAAGAGTCGGACACAACTGAGTGACTAAACAACAATACAGATGCCTCTTTTTATTATCTTTGTTTGCAGAAGAGGGATCTGCATCTTGTCTCCTTCCCAGACATCATGTGATACATGACTTGAAAAGCCCCATCTTCCGACCAGTGATTTGATTGCATTGCACTTGTTAATAGCTTCTCAAATACTTGGCTGTGCATTTGGATGCCTTTTCTCCCCTTTCCCCTCCCTAATATTTTACTAAATAGCTCAGCGCTTTAGATATCTGTCTGTGGAGCTGGAGGTTGGGAGTTTGATGCAACACAATGCCTCCTGTGAGTAGAGCCAGCCTGGGTGGCCTTGGGCAAGTTGTGCAGTTCCAGGGCACCCCCAGAATAAGAGATTGGTAAACCACTTCTGTGTATTCTTTACTTCCAAAATCCTGAAAAGGGTAGCCATATGTGAGACACGGTTATTCTATAGAGCTCAAAAGCTTGCATATTTAGTGCATTTACACTTGATCCTAATAAAAGTATTGCCCACCTGTGGATTTTGGAGTCTGGATCTCATTTCAGTCTAATTGCAGACACGTCCCGGAGGCCCAAGGAGCAGGAGAGGTCTGGGCAGAGCTACAGTTTCGTAACTAGGAGTGAGATGGAGGGCGACATCAAAGCAGGCCGTTACTTAGAGCATGGCGAGTATGAGGGGAACCTGTATGGAACCAAGATCGACTCTATCCATGAAGTAGTTGAGTCGGGCAAGATGTGCATTCTGGATGTCAACCCACAGGTAGTGTTTCCTACCTTCTCCAAAGTTTGCATTGGATGGTGGTTCTCAAAAGAGTTTCCTTTGGTTGATTATATCAGAATCAGGCTACAGTACATGGTTGTTGTGCTAGATCTTCAAGAGCATTCTGCTGTAGGATAAAGATTTATGGAGTCCTTTCTTTCTGCCTTTTAAAAATGGATACATTTTTTGAATGCATAGTTGTGCATCTCATGGTAGTGATGGCAGCGGGGGGTCTCTCTCTGTCTTTTCCTCAAGCAGGCTGTGAAGGTTTTGAGGACAGCTGAGTTCGTCCCCTATGTTGTTTTCATCGAAGCACCAGATTTTGAGACTCTACGAGCCATGAACAAAGCAGCTCTGGAGAGTGGGGTGGCCACCAAGCAGCTCACAGTAAGTTCTCTGTTTTGGCAACAGAATCCTGAAAAAGAAGGTGAGGAGGAAGTAAGCCTGGTCAGGCCGAAGATTCTCACATTTGTGAGAGAAAGAAATATTCAAACACCTTGCACTTCCCAGAAAGGAGGCAAAGAATATTTGGTAAAGTCTTTGCTCACATTGATTAAGAATATGTCTACATGGGCATTTGTCCTGCTGTTTGGTCTGCTCTGGGGATGGGCTAGTTTGTCCTTTTCCCTGCAACTACACAACATATGTGCCAGTGCAAACCATTCCATCTCAGAACATTTCAACCTCCACCTTTCTGGCTCTCTCTCTCTCTACTTGTTCTTAAGTGCAGGCGAGATTGGGAAATTAAAACTTCCTCTGCTGTTCTGTGTAGGGGCAGAGAGAGAAAGCAAGGGTTTGTTTTTAAAGCCTATTATGGCAGCGCTGATGCATTTTGCCCTTTAGATATTTCTTTTAAATGGAAGCTACCTCCTGGAGAGGGACATGGTGGCACTGTGGGTTAAGCTGCAGAAGCCTCTGTGCTGCAAGGTTGGAAGACCAGCAGTCGTAAGATCGAATCCATGTGACGGAGTGAGCTCCTGTCGCTTGTCCCAGTTCCTGCCAACCTACCGTTCAAAAGAATATAAAACTGCGAGTTAATAAATAGGTACCACCACGGTGGGAAGGTAGCGGCATTCCGTGTCTAGTCGCACTGGCTACGTGACCACTGAAACTGTCTTTGGACAAAATGCTGGCTTTACGGCTTGGAAACGGGGATGAGCACCACGCCCTAGAGGCGGGCACAACTGGACTAAATGTCAAGGGAACCTTTACCTTACCTCCTGGAATTTTTTTTCTTGCTTCCTTTTAAAGGAGGGAGGCCAAACAGGGTCACTTGAGGTATGTATAACATATGGTTGTGAAGACCATGCCAAAAGTCATATCAGACCTCTATAGACTTCAAGTGACCTTATTTAGCTCATTCCTTGTTGTTTAGTTGTTAAGTTGTGTCCGACCCTTTGTGACTACATGGACCAGAGCACGCCAGACCCTCCTGTCTTCCATTGCCTCCCGGAGTTTGGTCAAATTCATGTTGGTAGCTTTGATGACACTGTCCAACCATCTCATCCTCTGTCATCCCCTTCCCCTCTTGGCTTCACACTTTCCCAACATCAGGGGCTTTTCCAGGGAGTCTTCTCTTCTCATGAGATGACCAAAGTATTGGAGCCTCAGCTTCAGGATCTGTCCTTCCAGTGCTCATTCCAGTCCCTTCCAATTGACCCATTTAACCAACCTATTCTCCGCTTGTCTCAGTCTTATATAAAGTCACTCACACAGCTGATGATTATGAAAGATGGAATAGAACAGTGTGGGATCAACTGGACAGAGGTTCAGAAACCTCAGCATCATGGAGACAAGGATAGCAATGAGAAGCTGGGGGCTGAACTCTCAGTGGAGACCTGGGCGTGATGGCTGAGATTTCAATGGAAGGCTTGGGGGTGGAGCCATGAGTGATTGATCTTACTCATTCATCCATGTCCCTTGAAGCTTCCAGAGGCTTGTAGTAGTCGAGTCTCAGGTTCAACTGTGGCTGCAGTTTGTGACTTACAACTTGCTCTTCCCCCCTCTCCCATGTCATAACTAGGATGCTGACTTGAAGCGGACAGTCGATGAGAGCTGCCGTATCCATCGGGGCTACGGGCATTACTTCGATCTCTGCTTGGTCAATGACAACATGGAACGGACATTCCAGCAGCTGCAGGAGGCTCTGGAGAAGCTGCAGAGTGAGCCTCAGTGGGTCCCCGTCAGCTGGGTTTACTAAAGGAGCGAGCCCTTTTCCCTCAGAGCCACAGAGCCTTGGCTTTCCCACCTTCCCCACTTGGCCAAGGAATCCAGATTGCTTGCCTGCTCCTTCCCAAAAGTGTCTGCTGCTTGCGCTCTGCCCCTTCTACTGTTAAAACCTACCTGGCTTGCCCAAGCAATGCAGGTGAAATTAAGATGGCTTTATTCAATTCTGAAGGGAAGGTGCTTCCTCATTCCACTCTAGGAAGCCTCCAACCAACAAAGAACTCTTTTTCTACTGCCACAGATGAGTGGATGGTGCCCTGTTTTCCCACCCCATTCCTTTACTGACAACGAGAAGCCCTTTAATGAAGAACTCAGTATGGTGGACACAGGATTAGTGGGGCTGGATTAAGCAGGGCAACCAAGTACCCACAATGCCTTGCTACGTATACTCCTGGTCGTCTCAGTTACTGACTCGCCTGATGTCAGACAGGCAGGAAGACAGCTTCTCTTCCAATCACAGCTAGCCCACTGCCAAAAAACACCCCACACTGCTTCAGAGATGGACCAAAATCTTAATATTGCCAAAAGAATCGCCAGCCTAGGTTTCTTTTCCATGGAGAAAATTGGAGGAAGAGTGAGAGGGTGGGGGGGCAGACATTCCTCGCCTCCCTCAAGACCAGTTCTGTGCAATGCCATTGCAAGACATTCTGGGATATTAAAGGAGAACTGTAGGCACGTCTGGAAAATGTTAGTGAGGAGGGAAAATGTGACAGGGTGGCCTTGCCGGGGAAGCATTGGTCTGGAACCTAAAGCCTTGGATTCATCCTGTGGTAATGACACATGCACACATTCACGTACATAGCAAGTGAGTTCCTTAGCCTCAGTTTCACTGTCTGTAAAACGAAGCTAAATTTTAAGTATTGTTATTGTAATATTTATATCCTAGGAGAATGTTTGTGAAGATGGAATCCCCCATTGCAAATTACTGCTTTCTTCTTTTTATTTTTGGCCACTTTTGGTGAAGGATCTCCAAAAACAGATATATTCCACCTGGATCTTCCTCGGCCTCTCCAAAGACCTCTCCCTTCTTGGGGCTCTTGGAGAGCTGCTTCTAGACACAGCAGGGGAGACAAATGGATCATCTAGCCTAGTAATAACAACAACAACAACAACAACAACAATAATAATGCCAGAACTGCAGCTCTGGAAGGGACCATATAGATCATCAAGCCCAATGGGGAATTGAACTCCCAACCTCAGGCTCTGCAGCCAGCGGCCTAAACCACTGAGCTATCCAGCAGTTCAAAGGCAATGTCTTTTTTTTAAAAAAAACCACCTGTGTTCAGCTGAGAGGTTGTTCTCCATCCCATTAGCCTCCCAGTAGAGGACAGGAAAGCCACACGGCTGGCAAGGAGAGCAATAGAGATTACCGTCTACGTAATGGTTGCCTATTGAACCTTTGGAGGGATTCCATTGGGCTACCAGAGAATCCAAACTTCAGGTTCCTCTCCATGTTGGCTGTTACCACAAGGCTACCTGCAGTGCTTCTGGGCTCCAAGGTTCTCCCTCCTTCTGCCAGGACCAATACTTTCTACCTCACACACTATGGCAGCTGATTAATGGCAATACAAGCCAGTGCAGAGCGAGGGTCGAACCTTTGGACTCATTTTTTCACTGCTACACAAAGACAGAAAGCTTGTGCACACAATATTCACACACTCCCCCATCTCTTGCTTCAGTCGGATTAGATTCCCCACTTGCCAGAAAGATACTGGAACTAGTTTTTTGTTACTTTTTGTGAGTAGAATGGGGCAAGTAGGTAGACGCTGAATTGTTTCCCGTATCAAGCAGAAGAGAGCATCAGCTGCATCACGGACTCCTAACTCACCTCAGCTATTCTCCACTATTCCAGCCGCTCCTGTTTCTTACAACCATCAGTACTTATTTCAGCAGATGTTTGTATAGCAATAACTCCACCTGCTGGAACCCAAGCTAACTAGAGGGCTTCAATATTTTCAAGTGATGTTAAAATGCACTTAGTATTGCATTAAATATGGGGAGGGGGGATGGCGGTGCATCAACGTGACCTTGTATTTCATGGCGAGTTTGAATTGCATGCAGGCGAGTACACAGGATTCCATATTGATAAGCGAGGAGGCTGGAGGAAGCATGGAGAGACATGGAACATTCTGTCCCTGCTCTGTACCTATACCGTTGGCAATATTAGTTTTTGGACTACAGCTTCCAGAATCCCCCACAGCCTTTCTGTCTGGGGGATTCTGAGATTGTAGCTCTTACAGGTAATTTGTTCAGGCTCTGGCTGAAATAGAAATCAGCAGGCTGGCAGAATTTTCAGTTGTTTCTCTGCCAGCCTGCAAGTGTTTTTAATTTTATTTTGGTTATGTCAGTAAATTGTGAACGATTGCTATTGGGAATGGTGAATTTTTTTGGTTTAATTTTGTTTTGTTTTTTAAAGCTGGTTCTACTTTCCTGGTGGATATAGTACTAGCGGAGGGAACGCAAATGAAAAGTCATTTCCCTGAAACTTTTGGACTGTCTCAGCTCAGAAGGGATAGAAGGAGCAACAGCGTCTTTCTTTTCTGAAACCTGGACCCTTTGTTATCCCTGGGCCTTGCCTCCCAGGGTAGGAAAGCCACCTCAGACAATATATGTCAGGAAAGCAAAGGCAAAGTGTCAGACAGCAGAATTGTATGTGCCACACAATTAAGAATTTTCTTCCTGATGTTTCTAATTTAGGATATGGAGAAGAGATGAGGGACCTTTCTTTTTGCTGGTGTTAGGTGGGTGCTTTGGTGGGTGACTGTGCCATCTGAAAACCACATAACTGAGTTCCTTAATTCTTTTTCGTTTCTACAAATGCATTTCTCCCTATACACTGGATATGGTGCTTCCATATTTCAGAGGTGAGAGAAAAACAGCCATTTTTGTGGGGAAAAGGCATTTGAGTGTTTTTAGTGAGGTTGTCTATTTATATGATGTATTTGAGTTACAATTTTCATTGTGATTCGGTCTTTTCGGAGTTTGGAACTACGTAGTTACAAAGAATAAGTTGCTTGTAATTCCTTTTTCCTAGTAATTAAGGGGAAACTAAATTGCATTGCAGCTATAACATAGTGAAGGATGATTTTCACTTTTGCCATGTAACTGTAACTACTTTTATAGTTGCAAGAATGTGGTATCATTACATAGTGAGTGAAGAATATCACATGGTTCATATATAAGCTGGTGTTGTGCCTCATATTGCAGTGTGAGTTTTAGGATGACAAGATAGGTGTGAGGTGAGTGTTTTGTGCTGCAGAAGAATAGGAAGAAATATAGTTACCGTACTTTTGAGAAATAAGAATATGAAGAGTTGGCTTCAAGTTACAACTATAACAGTAACTAATTACTTAGTGCCAAGGCAAATATCAGTATCTGGTTGATATTTCCCTTCCCCGCCCCCGCCCTGGCACACAGAGCAGCTCCAAGAGGCCAGAATTAACCATTTTAATTTTAATTTCCCACAGTGCCCTTAACCTAGTATTGAAAATCTGAAGACTGAGTAGACCTGGCCATCTGCCATTGTTTGGAGCACTGCCATCAAATATGCGTATATAGTACTACCGGGATTTGCTAAATAATGGAGGGCTCTATAAAAGATACTCTTGGCCTCCTCATTTCTGGCCCCCTGTTTAGTGGGAAAATCCCTCCAAATACAATCGGATTAATATGATTCGCGACCCTCACTTTGCCAGCAACCCTATATCAAGCATGTTGCTCCTTGGCTTTTCATACGAATTTCTCTTCCCATCTCATCCCATCAGTGGCTTCCAGATGCTTTCCATGCCCTTTTATATTCCACAAAATTTATACATGCATGAATTTTACATTTGCAAAGGGAAAGTAGAGGAGAAATGTATTTGTTTTTTTTTTAACCCGACATACCTTTCATGGGTTGAAACATTGGGTACATAACAGTTTAGGCATACAACTGTTGTTAAGTGCAATATCCAAGTAACAAAGGACCAAAAACATAAAATCAGATGTTGTAACAAACAGATATTGGAAATGAAAACTGGTGTGTTTTTTTAAAGGACAGTAATTCAAAAACACTTGTGCTGTTGTTTATATGGATCTCAATACAACCCATCACAAGTTGTTTCAAGATTGTTCTCCAGATGTTTCATAATAATCTGAGGCAAAATCACACACACACACAGAGTCTTTCAAAATTCACACACACACACACACACACACATAGAGTCTTTCAAAATTTAGACGAAATTTAATGGAGGAGTTTCAACATGCATTGTGTACTTGCAGGACCAGCCCCTCCATTATGTAGAGTGAGGCAACTGCTTGAGAAAATATAGCACTCCCTGGATGTTTCCTTCTGAGTCTACTGGAAGACAGAACAGTGGGTCCCCCATCTACTCCTAAAAGGGTCTGCTGCCCTCAGGTGGCCTGGAGAATGCTCTCTCATTGCTACTGTCCAGCTGTATCTCAGCCTAGAGTCCAGTCAGCTTCTCTAGGTTGGCTGGAGTGATGTTCGTGTTAGCTATGTGCCCATCTTTACAGGTGCTGGTCCTCTATTTGAAGGGGTTCTTTCTTGGAAAGGTCATCCAGTCCAAGTGTAAATTAAAAATAGTTATAACTGTAATAAGAATGGAAAACAAGCCCTGAGGTAATGTTGTGGGTTTTTCGGGCTCTTTGGCCGTGATCTGAAGGTTGTTCTTCCCGACTGGTTTCGCCAGTCTCTGTGGCCGGCATCTTCAGAGGACAGCACTGAGTGGCAAAACGTTAGGAAGAACAACCTTCAGAACATAGCCAAAGAGCCCGAAAAACCCACAACAACCATTAAATCCCAGCCGTGAAAGCCTTCGCGAATACAAGCCCTGAGGTAGTTCATCCACAATAAGTACCTAACAGCAAGCTTAGATACACAAGCCATCTTGTTACAGTCTTCCCCATTATCATGAGATGTAATGTTATTTATTTTTAAATTATAGTAACTATTTTAAAGTTACAATATTTTTAAAATCTTCATATTTTATGAAGATCTGTTCTCTCTCTGTTTTGTTTCCTTAATGATGCATTTTCTGTCCTTTTTTTGCCTCTGTTGTCTGTCTGTCTCTCACCAATGCATAATTGGCACAATCTTGTCCCTTGCCCTCTTAAGCAGCAAATGTTTTGGGCCAGCTCTGCAAACCTGATGATGACTTTGCAGTGCACACCACCCAAAGAGCATGATTTGCAATGGTGTAATGAAGTTGATGGATTTGTATTGCTGGTGGCTATAATATTAGAATTCGGAGGGACTTTCATCCAAGTACAGTGCTGCCTTGCAAGACGATTGCCTCGCAGGACGATTAATCCGCAAGACGATTGGTTTCTGCGATCACTGTTGCGCTTCATGACAAAAGGTACAGAGGTGCCTCGCAAGACGATTGCCTCACAAGACGATTAATCCGCAAGACGATTGGTTTCTGCGATCGCTGTTGCGCTTCGCAAGATGACGTTTTCTATGGACGATTTTCGCAAGACGATGATTTTTCCCCATTGGTGTGCATTAAATAGATTTCAGTGCATTCCAATGGAGAACCACATTCCGCAAGGTTTCAGTGCATTCCAGTGGGGAACCGCATTCTGCAAGGCGATGTTTTCTATGGATGATTTTTGCAAGACAGTGTTTTTTCCATTGGAATACATTAAATAGATTTCAATGCTTTCCAATGGGGAATCGCGTTTTGCAAGACGATATTTAGGTCACAGGTTTATGTACATAGTATACAGGGACCAAAGTCATTTTTGAACAAAAATCAGCGTACCAAAATGGGTATTTTTCAGGAGAAATTGGAAGTTTGAACATTCTTCACAACTCCCTAAACTGTGTAGGCGTAGACAGGTGGAAATGCTTGGCTTAGCTTTCTTGCGGTCATAATTGGGGAAAGTGTGCTAAACATGTTTCATTTTTCTTTTCTTCCT